ATAAATTACCTACTTTTTTTGTATAAAAGCACAAAATTTTTTTTATTTGGCATTACTTTTGTACAAGCGTCTATCTGCCTATAGTGACTTTTCTTGTAAGTATTATTGAGCATAACTTGATGTTATTTGACGCAGTTGTTATTTTCTTCTAAATATATTTTCAGTTTTATAATGATTATAGAACTAGGAAATAAAAGTTAAACTTCTTGACAATCATTACAAAATGTAAACAAAGCCATGGAATGGCATGGCAGTGTATAGGCGGCCGTGGCAATACCGATGTTGACGTCATAAAACCTGCGCACCGCTTCACCTGTATCCTTACACCATGGTATTTGCAACATAAGACCGGCAATTTTATCAACCGCGCTAGTCAAAATAGAAGCTAGCGATGGAAAATTTCATGAATTCAGAGCACTGCTAGATAATGGAGCCCAAAATTCGTTTGTTAGTGAAAGACTTGTCAGCAAATTAAAACTGGCGAAAAATAAAATTAATATTTCAATTGTTGGTGTAGGTCAGGTACAAACCAATGTAAATTTTTCCACTAATATTCAAATGTTTTCACGTAATTCAAGTTACAGCAATAGAATTCCTTGTATGATTTTAAAGGAAATTACAGGCAATTTACCCTCTTTTTCCTTCGATGTAGAACAGACTCATATACCAGAACATTTAATACAACATTTAGCCGATCCTAAATTTAATAAATCGAATGTTGTTGATATTTTAATAGGTTCAAATATTTTTTGGGACCTTTTGTGTATTGGTCAAATCAAACTCGATTCCGGTATTATTCTACAGAATACGCGCCTAGGATGGATTGTTGCCGGAACTATGAGTATATTACCTCCTAGAATTTCACAAGTAAATTTTTCTATAAATTTTAACGAGATAAATAATGAAGAAAATTGTCTAGACAATCTAATTACCAAATTTTGGAATATCGAGGAAATAGTTTCGGATTCTGTATTAACACCTTCAGAGAAATTTTGTGAAGAGCATTTTAAAGCTAATCACAAGCGAGATAATCAAGGTAAATTTATAGTTTCGATTCCTTTTAAGGAAAATTTAAATCAGTTAGGTAACTCACGAGAATATGCTTTAAAGAGATTTTTGTCTCTAGAAAGAAAATTATTAAAAAATCACGAGCTTAGTAGCGAGTATAAGAAGGTAATGAACGAGTACATTGAGTTAAACCATATGCAAGAAATTCACGAGGAAGAAAATGTCGAGGAACTTAATTATTATCTATCTCATCACGCAGTGGTAAAAAATTCGAGTTTAACAACTAGATTAAGAATTGTGTTTGACGCGTCTATGAAGACAGACAGCGGTTTGTCTTTAAATGATGTTCAACACAGTGGCGCGGTTATTCAAAATGATTTATTTTCTATTATTTTAAGGTTTCGTAAATATCGTTATGTTTTGACTTCAGATATAAGCAAAATGTATCGAATGATACTTATACAAGACGATCAGCATCGTTTTCATAGGGTACTTTGGCGTTCAGACATAAACGAACCTATTAAATGTTACGAGATGAATAGGTTAGTTTTTGGTACGGCATCAGCTCCGTTCTTAGCTGTTCGATGTTTATTTCAATTGGGTATTGATTGTAAATATAAAAATTCCTTAATCAGTGAAATAATTAAAAATGATTTTTATATGGATGATTGTTTGACTGGTAGCGACTCGAGTCTTGAATTAATTAAAATACAAAGAAACCTATCTCAAACTTTATCAAGTGCAGGGCTGGACTTAAGAAAGTGGTTATCGAATGATACTGATCTTTACAAAGAATTTAATGTCAATGAAAATTTGTCTTCCAGTATTTTACATATAGGTGAAAGTGAAGCTAATAAAACATTAGGTGTTCTTTGGAACTCTAATTCTGATACTATTGAATTTTCTATTTCCAATTTCAGCGAAAGTAATGTTATTACTAAACGATCAGTTTTATCACAAATATCGCAAGTTTTTGATCCACTAGGCCTTGTCGGTCCAGTAGTAGTGGTAGCAAAATTATTTATTCAATCTTTGTGGCAAGAAAAAATTAATTGGGATACTGAATTACCCAATCATTTAAAAAATGCATGGTTACATTTCTGCAATGATTTAAGGATTTTAAACTCTTTAAAGATTCCTCGACATGTTACAATAACAGAGTATGTATCTATAGAGTTACATGGCTTTTCGGATGCTAGCGAAAAGGCTTATGCAGCGTGTTTGTACATAAGATGTCAAAATAAAAATGGTATCTACGTGAGTCAATTATTATGTGCTAAATCAAGGGTAGCACCGTTAAAGAAAATTACGTTGCCGCGTTTGGAGTTATGCGCAGCCTTACTGTTGGCAAGATTAGTACATAAGGTTATAGAATCAATAAAAATTAAATTTACCAAGGTGTATCTCTGGTCAGATTCTACTATAACGTTATGTTATATTAGAGGATGTCCTAGCAAATTTAAAACATTTGTTGCGAATCGGGCGAGTGAAATACAACAATTAACAAATGTTCTTGATTGGCGACATGTACAATCAAAAGATAATCCCGCAGATTTGTTGTCACGCGGTAAGCCTGCCGCTGATTTATTATATTGTGACCTTTGGTGGTCAGGGCCGACCTGGCTTTCTGAGTCAATTTTAAATAAAACCAAGGAACCACGAGAAAATATTGAATTAGAGGTTAAGGAGGTACGAATCGTTAATTGTATAAGCGAATTTAGTGATTTCAATATTTTCTCTAGATTTTCGTCTGTATTGAAGTTGAAGCGTGTAATGGCTTATTGTCTTAGATTTATCTCAAATAGTAGGACAACCAAAAGGAACAGATATGTAAATTCACTGTCAGTTCTAGAGCTCGAAAATGCGTTAGAAAAATTAGTACAATTAGCTCAAAAACAATCATTTCCACAGGAATTTGATTTACTTAGTCAGAAAAAACAAGTTCACAAGAGAAGTTCTTTATTACCACTAAACCCATTTCTTGACAAAAAACAGATAATCAGGGTGGGGGGAAGAATTCAAAAATCTAGCGCAAGTATTGAAAGGAAACACCCCATAATTTTACCTAACAAACATATTCTTACAAGATTAATTTTAGAGTACGAGCATCAAAGGTTACACCATTGTGGCCAAACATTATTGCTTTCAAGTATTAGAGAAAAATTTTGGCCAATTTCAGGTCGAAATTTAACTAAACAAGTAGTACATAGATGTGTAATATGTTTTAGAGTAAATCCACCAGCTTCTAAATATATGATGGGAAATTTGCCATCTGAGCGAATTAATCAATGTTTACCATTTAAAAATGTTGGGGTAGACTACGCGGGTCCCTTTCTAGTGAAGGATCGCTCTACTAGAGGGGCGAAGTTACAAAAGGCTTATGTTTGCCTCTTTATCTGTTTAGCCACTAAAGCGATTCACCTAGAATTAGTATCGGAACTTACGACACAATGTTTTTTAGCGGCACTCAGAAGATTCTGTAGTCGTCGAGGTAAACCTAGCATAATATTCTCAGATAATGCAAAAAATTTTGTAGGGGCTGAAGTTATATTAAAACAATTTTTTAATGATAATGATCAGAATATTATTCACGTAATGTCAGACGAAAATATTACATGGAAATTTATTCCAGCAAATTCGCCTAATTTTGGTGGTATATGGGAGGCGGGTGTAAAGCGAACAAAATATCACTTAAAACGCGTTTTAGGGAATGCGCACTTAACTTTTGAAGGATTCAACACAATTCTCACACAGATTGAGGCAATATTAAATTCCCGACCTTTGTGTCCCCTATCTTCCAACCCTGATGATTACCTAGCACTCACCCCGGCTCATTTTCTAATCGGACAACCCCTGACATCCATTCCAGATCCGGATGTCAGACATATTAACGAAAATCGTCTTAAATTATACCAAAGAATGCAGCAACTTGTCCAACATTTCTGGGCAAGATGGCATACAGAATATTTGTCAGAATTGCAATGCCGAGGTAAATGGCAACAAAAGACTGAACAGTATATTAAGGAGGGCGCACTAGTTTTATTAAAGGAGGATGATGCACCACCCTTAAGATGGCACCTTGCAAGAGTGGTCAAGTTACATTTTGGAAAAGATGGTGTTTTGCGGGTAGTGACTGTAAAACTGCCAGCCACCGGAAGTGAAGTGACACGTGCAATAACCAAAATATGTGTATTTCCCTTTGATAGGGACAATGTCTAGTTTACTATTTATTTTTGAATGTCTCATATCTTTTTTCCTTTGATAGGAACAATGTTTAATTTACTATTTATAAGTTATGTATCCTGTTTATTTTGAAAATGTGTTACATATTTCAAGGGGGCCGGTATGTTAAGTCCAATTTTCCGCGCGAAATAATTTTAAATTTGAATACCAAACCACAGTACCGGAAACACTTGAGAATTACGATGAGAGACGAACAATTCCGAAGTACCAAAAAAAAGAGATCGATATGTGTCATGTCGTCATTCGGGCTTCTTAAAAAAGCTCCCTTGAAATCGTTTTTGTATTTGTTGTAGCTAACAATAAAAGTAAAAATGCAGTTACAAGTGTTTTAATAAATACGGTCCTTCGAAATACAGCAGAAATCCAACAGCACCTATAAAATAATTTTCTACGCCAATGTTTCGCGTTCACTTCGGTCAAAAAATTTGCGTATGTTTAATGATAAACAGATAATGAGTGGGCAGTCAAAATTAATTAAAATTTCGAACATATTACGATTTTAAAGTTTTTTTTATCATTGGCCATGAACAATACGCCCAATAGCGGCGAAGTTAGGAATTTGAAAATAATATTTCTAGGGACCACTTTTGTTAAAAAAAAATTCTCAGAACTGTAGATAAAAGATTCCTTTCTTATTTAGACATTTGGTACATGTATTTCAAAAACATCCTATATGGTACTGTGTGTAAGAGAAAGCAAGGAAACATGACGCAATATAACTTGAATTTAAGAAAGTGTTAAATACTTACACTCCAATTGTCGCTCTTGAAGCCACTGATTGCAACAATAACTCCCTTGCCTATATACGAGGACACCATTTCTCCAAGTCGACTATGTCGAAACATGGCTCTCAAAACGTTCATACAGTGCATTCGATGTTCGGTGTTGATATCACTAAAGCTTTCACAAGCTATCAAAAGTTTTGTGATTGAATTGTGAAAACGAAGTTGGTCAAAAATTGGCTCTGAACTCAAAATAGACTGAAAAATGAGAATATTAATTATAAAACAAATTAGTCAAAAACTATAACAAATTTAAAAGGTTAAAAGTATAGAAAATTTAATTAAAGTAAATGAAATTATTTACAAGTATTAAAAATGGCAATCCAGCACTTCTTCTTGTAGCACATAATTTATCAGACTTTTTTTCTCCTGTACAAAGCGCCAACCCGTCTTTTAACCATGCTTTTGGAAGACAATTCAATTTCGGATTTGATGATCTAGAAAAACATTTTTTTAATTTAGTTTGCAATAAGGTTGGTTGTTCTGAGTTGAAAAACCTAAAATTTGCAAATCAATATTGTAAGTTAACATAAATTTATTTCAAAAAAATTAGCTAGGAATATGAATTTTTATATGGTTTATTGGTATTTTTGGTACAATTTGAAGGTTAATATCACACGAGATTTCAAGTTCTAACGCCCTTGTACAACATTAAGAAGTTATTAAATGTATTTCTAGTAAAATATTTTAAATATTCTTTTCCTAGTTGCAAATGGACTATTATTTTTTTATTATCAGGTGGTGTATCAGACATCACTAATGGAGTGTAGACTTAATCATCGTAACGTGAAATGCCAGAGCCCTTTTAATCATCTCAAGAACTCAAGTGTTCCTAATAGATCAACAAGAAACTCATTTAACAAAACAAAGCTAAATTCAATTTAAATGATATAAGGTTTATAGTACTATATATCCGTCGAATAGTTCTAGAAGGGAAATGCTGTAATAATAAAACATTAACCATTATGACAAGAACAAAATAAAAACAGAAGAAATACAGATAACAGCAGTTAACATAAAAACAGATAAATACAGATTTATTCTGAGCTTTTCAGATAAAAGTATCCACCTTAAGTAACTTTTGAAGTACTGATTATTACAAAAACAAAAAATAAGTCATTTAATATTCGAAGGGAAAGATATTGTACCATATTTAGGTTTGCTGAAAAAGTCACCCTTTCACCCCTGCTTTCCCCATTTTTTTTTATCAATTTTTGAATTTCTCTCGTTTAACTGATTTCAAAAATGTATGAAACATGGGGTTTAAAGTAATAAGTTTATGATATACAGGCTTTCTTTAATTCAGTGACAAATTTTTACATCTCACCTTACTGACTGCAGAAAAACTGGATTTAGAATACACTATACTTTAATCGTACCGCTAAAAACTTGTTGAAGTTTTTTATGATAGCTGATAAAGGTTGGGGAGATTTGAAAAATGAATTTAAATCAGTTTTATAGTTATTTTGATACATGTGCACATTGATTTGTTGGGGTTATTTATTTGATTTCAAAATGGTTTACAGTTTACAACTCGGTTTACAAGAAAGAATCGAACTTGTAGGTTTATATTACAAAAATAACAGTACTGTACGAGCTGCTGCTAGAATTTTCTATGAAACACATCAAGGGGGTCATGCAAATCATAAGTATGTAATTGATCTTATGCATAAATTTACATCATCCGGGTCAGTTGGCAATAAAAAACATAACCGGCTGGAACTCGTAAATAAGAAAGCAATCGAAGTCACGGTTTTAGGCAGGGGCGGTTTCTCCATTGGTTCATTTGTGCAGTAAACACCCAGTTACATTTCATTAAAACACATTATTTTAAAATAACATAAAAATATTAATTCAATTTTAATAATTTTATTGTTTTTATACGTATCTATTTTTGGGTATGCCACTGCGCTTTCGCGTTATCGTGACGCGCTTTTTTAAGTGAGCCAGAAGGAGTGATAAGCGTTCTTGAAAATCTTTAGCTAAAAAGAGATGTCAGTAGGGCGGGCCATACCAATCTTTCAAATCATAGATATAGACGGTACTAAACGTGTCTGCAGTTTCGCATTACTCTTTTACGAATATGTCAAACTCCAGCTAGTTAGTTTTGGTGATAATAAATGCCATTTTTTTTAAAATAGCGTGATTTATTTAAATCATATAAAAACATTTTCATTCCGTCAACCTACAAATATAAAATTATTAACTTAAAATTAATCAAAATATGACGCAAACTGCCTTCACTTGTCATATCACAAAATAGTCCTTATTCCATCTCTACCTACTTCATATTCTATCTTCTAAACGTTTTCAACCAACTTTCCAATCAAGCTGTCAAATTCTAAAAATCAACATGAGACAATTTTAATTGTGAATTGTATTAAAAATTAAGTTTAAATAAAACTGCAACTTTAATAAATCGGAAGTATGTGTGTCAATTGAACGATTGTATCCGAAAAACGTCACAGGTAAAAAACATTACTATTATTTGTTGAGGTTATGTTTATTTCCAAATTTCTTGACTCTAGTACAATTTTATATAATTGTTTATTTTGTAGGTTGTCCCTTGAAGTTATAAAAAAATACCCTATCTATAAATGCTACAGGTACTGATAAACAGTGTCAGACTGTTATAGCACTGAGGATTTTATAAACTTACATTACCGTTTTTTTAAAGAGGATATAAAATATGAATATTGCAGTGGCCTAAATTAATTCAATAAACTTAATAGTTGTGTCTATGTTAGGTAAATACCTATATCATGAAGACTAAATTAAATATTTACCGATATCTGGGAGGTAAACTATGTAGACAGTGCAGTATTATAAAGGTTATATTTTTAAAATCGGCTCATCGAGACCTTTTCAGGGGTATTCTATACCATGTATAGTGATGTCACAATATAAGACTTTTAAAAAAAGAACACTATGTTCGATGTTTAATAAACTTACACTATTTAACTCTCACGGTAGTCATACTATTTATAGAGGCATGTTGGAGGTATAAGACACTAGGTATGTCATAGAAAATTTGTTATCAGCACATAGAAATATGTTACAAAAACCAACAATTCATGTATATTAAAAAAAAAAGTTTTATTAGTAAACAATACATATTGTGATAATAATTGGGGCCAACTGAATTTCTTGTCGAAATATAATTATTATAATGTAAATATACAACACAAAAAGTGTTTACCAACATTCAGTCTGCTTTACTAAAAAGCTGACTAGAATGACAGCACAATTTACCTCCGAAGTACTGATATACCTATTAAATAATTTTCAACTCTTTGACTTTATAATTCTTTTAGTATACCCATTTTGTAGGTTATTATGTTTTTGTTTTAGCCTTGATTATATTATTATTCTACTCTTCACACAGTAGTCTGTAAATAGTATTATAGGTTTACTTTGTCCGATGTCACGGTTTTTATCTGCACGATAAGTCAAAAACGAAAATTTGAGGCAAAAACCAAGCTCTATAAGGGGACAAAACCTATTGACTCAGAAACAAGAAACGACATTATTGTATATTGTATTATGTATATTGTTTATGAAAAATCTGATTCAAAATAGGGGGTTAGGATGGGTTGAAATTAAAAAAAAACCTAAATTAAAAACGAAAAGCGATATCAACATAGTAAAAATGATTCTCTATAAGAAGAGATAAAGCCCATTGATTTTGAAAAAAATTTAAATAAATAGGGAAGTTAGGGAGGGTTAAAATATAAACAAAATCTTAACTCAAAAACGAAAAATGATATTAACTTGAAATTTTTAGCAAACATCAAGCCCTATAAGGATAAGCCCTTTAATTTTGAAAAAAAAAAAAAAAACAACTAATCTGATCAAAAATGGGGATTTAAGGGGGGTTAAAATGAAAAAGAATCATAAATCAAAAAAAAAAGCGATATCAACATGAAATTTTTAGTAGAAATCAAGCTCTACCTATAAGAAGATGAGGTCTACTGACTGTAAAAAAAATTGAATAAAAGTGGGGGGGGGTTGAAATATTTAAAATAATTCTAACTCAAAAACAAACAATATCTACTTGAAATTTTTGGAAAAATCAAGCTCTACATGGGGATGAAGCCTATTGATTCTGAAAATAATCTGATTAAAAATGGGGGTTAAAAGGGGGTCTGTTAAACTGTGAAAACTATAATTGTGAATGCCACACATTATATATCTTCATTCTAGTTTGTATCTGTGTAATATTATGTATTGTGATCTTATAAAATACACATTTTAGTTCACTTGTTTTTTGCCAATAAAGGGTATTTAAAAAATATATTATTTTATTTAACATGTGTGACAAACTATGAAAATGAATAAATTTACAATAAAAACTGAAAAAGGATCCAAGTGTCCCAGGTTCGAATCCCACCGTTGGCCGGGATTTTTTTATTTAATTTAATTATTTAAAATTAATTCTGATGCCTTGGTAGGATTTCCCACTCGACCATTCACTGTTGGGTTCTAATTAACAGTGCTGTTCCTAAAGTGGCACTGGGAAACAGTAACAAAGCCTACACAGAACAGAGGCTAATGGCCTTAGTAGTCGATGCCGATAACACCAAATTAAAAAAAAAAAAAAAAAAAAAAAAAAAAAATGGTAGGTAAAGTTTCATATATTTTTTACACAAAAATCAATGTCAAGCTTTCTACATTTAAAGATAATCTCAAAATATGAAGAAAAGTCAGTTGATTAACTAATAATGTTTATAGATGATTTTCAACGTATTAAAAACAAAACAAATATTACAATAACTAAAATATTCATTTATTCATTCATTAATAATTGTAGTGCTTGAAAACAGTATGATATTGATAATAATAACTACACTTGTACAAGGTTTTGAACCGAACTTACAAAATGATAAAATTATTGGAAAAAGTGAACACCCATTTTAAATTACAACAAGCCGTCACTTGTTTTAGGACAAGTAAATCTTGAAAATCAACAACCACAGCCACTGTCAATAAGCAGAGAAGTAGGTGTTTCATCTTCCACAGTTTTTCGAATATTACACAAGCACAAGTACCATTCATACAAAATTAAATTGGTTGAAGAGTTGTACCAAGATGATTTGATCGTCGTCTTAAATTTTGTGAATTATTGAGTCAGCGCTTGACTGACTATCCACATTTGTTGCACAACCTTTGTTTTTCGGATGAATGCATTTTCAGTAAATAGTTAATAGACATAATTACATATATTGGGCTGAGACAGTGGTCCACATTTTGTGCGTGAATACCACACACAGAATCATCAAAAGTTAAATGTATGGTGTGGTATCCTAAATGACCACATAGTCGAACCTTTCTTTTTAGAAGGAAACTTAAATGGTGAATCGTATTTTGAGTTATTGAGAGAAGTAATTGATCCACGTATTACAACAATAAGACAAAATGATCATAACCTTTCTGAAGATTTGCTTGTATTTCAACAGGATGGAGCACCGTCGCACTTTGCTTTGCCTGCACAACAATTTTTAAATGAAACTTTCCCCGCTTGTTGGATAGGTAGAAGAGGCTAGATGATGGAGTGGCCACCTAGATCACCGGATTTAACACTCCTAGACTTCTTTTTATGGGGTTATTTGAAAACAAAAATGTATGCTATCCAACCGGAATCTTTGGAAGATTTATGACAAATAATAGAGCATGAATGTCGAAATTTAAATTCAGACGTGTTCAGTAATGTCAGAGAGGCTTTTCAAACTAGATTATACCATTATATGGAAGTAAATGGTGGATATTTTGAACAATTTTTATAATAAATTTTGAAAACGAAATATTAGTTTTATTATTGGAAACGCTTGTAATAAAATTATTAAAATAAAATATTTGCATAATTCAATTTTATTTTAATTTAAAATTCTGTAGATCATAAACAAATTACTTTAAACCCTATGTTTCATACATATTTGAAATCGGTTAAACGAGAAGAATCCAAATATGGATAAAAAATGGGGGAAGCCATTTAAAAAATTAAAGGGATGATAGCAGGGGTGAAAGGGTGACTTGTTCAGCAAACCTAAATATGACACATCTCCCCCTTTGTTACGAATCGATGGCTCATAAAGAAATTAAAAAAAGGTAATTGCTTGGAACTGTTATAGTGGTTGCATGTGTAAAAAATTTAAAGAGTATTGCACATCTTACCTTCCGTTCTTCCTGTTGACAGTATTCTCAAGGTACCTGGATCTCGTGGAAAAAGCGGAGCTTCGAGGATAGCGAGGAAAGCACAATGAAAAACGGAAACTATAAAATTATTATAAATCACATCGCCGGCCGTGTTGACCTATCGCCTTTCTTCTATCGCGTACAATTAGTGTCTCTTCGGACCAGCACAACAATCAGTTGTCGCGAAATATATCAAAAAAAAGTTTCGTTTTGATAAACTATTCATACCGCCGTCCTCCAGACAGGATTGAGCGGTGCAATACAATACATATTGAACAATAATAACACCCTTCGAATATTAATTGACGTATTTTTTTGTTTTTTGTAATAATCAGTCCTTCAAAAGTTACTTAAGGTGGATACTTTTATCTAAAAAGCACTCTATATTGCTCCGCGACATAATCTGATAAAAAAAAAGAATATTACAGATAATTCTTCAGACAAATGGGAGACAATTCTATCTTGGGGGGTGATTTCTATGCTAAAAATATAATCTGTGGCTCAAGATTAACAACCACAAAAGGTAGAAGAATGCATGCAGCAGCAAATGGAAATGTGCGCCCCTATCATTTAACAGGAAAACCAACAGACAGAAATAATATACCTGACAGACAAACTAGAAAAATACCCGGAAACTTCATTAAAATAGAAGAGAACTTTGACTTAGACTCAGATCATTTCCTTGCGATTATGATACTAAATCCAAAAATAAATTAGTTAAATAAACACTATGTAATAAAGAGAAAAACTGGGTAATTTTCAACGTTGACATAAGAAGTAGAATTGAACTAACTGCTTACTAAGAACAAAAGAACAAATAGTGTACAAGCTGGAAAAAATGTCACCCAGCAAGCGTCCTTGAACAGCATACCAGACATTACAAGAAAAACTATACGTAATGTATAACCCAGAGAAATAAAACTAATAAATAAAAAAAGAAAAATGGCATTCCCAGATTCCCCAAAGATAAAGTAGTCTTTAACTACTAACACAACTAAAAAAGGAAATAAAATACTATTAAAAATAATCACAAATCATATCTCAGAAAATTGTCGGAAGGGAAAGATACTAATACACTCTGTGGAAAGTGAGTAGGAAGCTTAAATGTCCAATTGTCTACATGTAACCAATAAAAACAAAACTGGGCAAGATCAAAAAGCTGATATCTTTGTAGATTACTAATCAATCATCTGTGATCAGATTATAATTATAGTGAAATGCTCACATCGAGCATTGTCTAATCATAAAAAAGTTTGTTTAGTTATTTTTGCTTCTATTTTCCAGCGTTTTAGTATACTTACGTCCAGAATGATTCACAAATAACAGAAAATCCAACGTAAGCTTGTTCAAAAACTCCTCTGTGTTTAGTAGCTATGAAAACGTCTAGAAAAAATTCCCCAATTTTAATCATAAAACTTTCCCCTAACATTTCGAAGCAATTTTCTAATTTCACAGTCTGTCTAATAATTTCAGCAAGCAACAAAGTCATTTCCTTCATTGTTCTCCAAGAGTATACCAAAATTATTTGGGATTTTGCAGACTCGGTACTCTCGCAAATTATTTCTCCGTAATCAGGTAAGTAACCTTCAGGAGAAGGATTACATACTATTGGCATAATGTGGTCTTTGAGATTAAGGCATATTGTGGTGAGGTGTTCAAATAATCCTGAACATGCATCGTTGTTTTTACTAAAAAAAAAAAAAACAAAAAAAAAAAAATACAGGCTATGAAAGTTTTAAGTTAAAAGCAGAGACAACAGATGTAGCTATCCATATATAATAATAATACTCTCCCTAATTCACCCCCTTACGAGTGAATTTTAACCCCAAAAACTGAGCTTGTGCGGGGAAAAGGACGGCTATTATAATTTGCCGTGGCGCTCCGGGGCGACTTAAAGATGATTGATGGTGTCATTTGACTTACAGGTGAGGAAAACCCGGAAAACCTCACCCACCATCATCGAGACGGTAATGCATGGCGATTTTATAATCTGCATGTTATATCAACAGAAATTAAATTTCTATTAATACGGCACACATCAAATCCTATACCGAACCATGCAATTTAATTAAAAATCCACATGGTCTGGTCTGGGATTCAAAGCTCGACAGTCTCCGACCATAAACATGCCTATAAATGAATATAAGCGCGTTAGACTGCTACACCACCGACCCGATAAATTATAATATTAATTTGGCACTCAATACGCTCCAGTTGTAGGTCCGAAATGAAGAGATGTGTGGTGAGAGGTAAGAGAAGGAATAAGGAGAAGGATTTTACAGCGATACAATTTTTTTATCAATGAATGTATTTGTAATACAGGTGAGAGAGCTTATACGCTCATAATAACGGTGTAGGCCCTGTTGCCACATCCAAATTAACAATAACTAGGTTTTGGAATTTATTAAAAATTATTACATGTAATGTAGTTAAATTTGATATAACTAATGATTAAAAATTGTTTGAGTTCAGTTGCAATAAAATAGGTTGAATTATTTTAGCTTTCTTAAGATATGTAAATAATTTGGAAAACAAAACGAGAATAATGAAATAGGCATTGAAAACAGCGGATATTATACCCTCCTGTGTCCCTTAGAATATGTCTTATTCACTACAGCACGATATTTGTTAGTAGTTACATCTCCTGTTATCTCTGGTTAAAAGTCAAGAAAGTTAGTATATATTACCTCATGTCTCTGCTTTGTAAAAGATGCCTAATACTTTGCAAAATTCCATAATTAGCAACTTTTGGGTTACAAACATCGACTTCTATATTAGTTTGAGTAATCAGCTTTCCGGTCAAAACAACAAGCATGTCCAAAATTGGATTGTGGATTTGTCTTGTGTCAGTCTCGTTTTGGCCATATTGTACTATGTCGTAAAAAAATGGAGAATGGGCACAAATTTCGAGTAAATATGCTGCCGACAGCGTTTTACTTGGTTTAATAGCCAAGGCGATATTAAGACAACGTTGCATATATTTGAATGTAAATTCGATATTCTGAAATAATAATCAAAATTAAATTTTGATAGAATTGCAATTTTAAAATTTTACAGAATCATTGAATCAAAGTCAATTAAACTACATAAAGTAGGAGAACAAATCAAAAATTAAGATCCTTGTAGTCAAAGATCAGAGCATAAGGTGCAGGATAGCCGAGATACAAGTTTGATAATGATTTAACTATTTGTACTACAAGTAATTTAGTTAATTAATTTTTTTTCCTTAATTTCTATTTTATTTAATTATAATTTTTTTTAAGGGTTATTGATCCAAATTAAAAGGATTAGATGGAAGAGTAGCTATAGTTTAAAAATCTTGCCCTTACATTTTATTGTAATTTTCAAAAATATTTAAATAAATGTGCAATGAAGAATTATTTTTTTTTACATAAAATGACCCATAATAACTGCTAAACATGAAATAATAAACAATTTTTAATTATGTAATTTACATTTTTTATTAATGGCAAACGATACTATTTTAAAGGGTTGGTGCAATTTTATTCTTATTGTCAAACCTGTTTTGCATGCCTGAATTATTGTAGGAGAACCCACTGCAAATTACAGCCGTCATTTGATATTAAAATGAAATATGCCTCAAAGGCATGTAAAAATATTGAAATTTACCAAACGGCACCTGTGCCTATCACTATCCTGAGCAGTGGTTAAAAAAATAGCACTTCATGTGTCACAATTAGCGAGAAATGTCATTTGATAACTAGATAAGTATGCCATCAGATAGCCATTGCTTAATAGAACTCAAAAATGAACATGCGCCACCTTTTTTCCTGGCTATTTTTTGTTTGTTCAGCAATAATTCTATACCACAATGTTCGATTTCCAAGAGTCTTTTTTTGTTAGAAAGAGGACACTTCAGGGGTGGTCACATATATATAAAAATTTGGTCAAAATCTGATGATGGGATACGTGAGAAAATCATCAAAAAAATTCAATTTGCAAAGACAACTGCACGATTTAGGAGTCTGTTATTTAAAATTACTTTTATAACTCACCAATTATTAATATAGGTACAGGTTTATTATTTACCAGAATAACTTAATATGTATTTATTCACATACATTTTATTACTATTTATCCGTCTAAACAAATAAACTATTGTAAAATAGAATTCAATACAGCAATAATTGTTTGAACCAGAATTATTATTAAAAATTTTTCCTTTTTTACTTTCCTATCTGTATACAGATATAAGGAAAGTATAGGAATCATGATTTTTTTCGACCTCGAGTTTTCGACGGATTTTTACGTTTTGAGGTCCCCTGAATCCGTTTTGACTATTTTCGCGATGATGTCTGTGTGTGTGTGTGTGTCTGTATAACGCATAACTCATGAACCGATACACAGAAAAACACCAAATTTTAAACTTAAGCTTTGTTTCAGCGTCCAATGAGCTGATTAGATTTTGGGCAGAGTCGGAACATCTGGGGGGGTACTTTATAGGTGGTCATTTTTATATTTTATGGAATATATCTGTTATTTACGTTTGGAGAAGAAAATTCTTCAAATAAAAGTTACTTCTAATATAATTATCTATAATTTTTGTTTTATGCAAAATTTTCCTAAAATGGTCCGTATTCGAGAAATTTGACAAAATGTAAAAAAAATAATTTTTTATAAAAATTGTTCAAATAAAAGTTGTTTGTAATATAATTTTCTATAATTTTTGTCCTATACATAATTTCTCTAAAATGGTCCGTATTCGAGATATTTTAGAAAATGTGTAAATTTCGAAATTTGAAGAAAACTCAAAAACGGATAAAGGAAAAAACATTAAATTTTAAACTTAAGGTTTATTTCGGCCTGACGTGAAATGATTAGATTTTGGACAAAGTCGGAACATCTGGGGGGGTACTTTATGGGAGGCCGTTTTTATATTTTATGGAATATATCTGTTATTTATGTTTGGAGAAGAAAATTGTTCAAATAAAAGTTACTTCTAATATTATTATCTATAATTTTTGTTCTATGTCAAAATTTCCTGAAATGGTCCGTATTCGAGAAATTTGACAAAATGTGCAAAATTCTGATTTTTATGAAAATTGTTGAACTAAAAGTTGTTTGCGATATCGATTTCTATAATTTTTGTTTATATATGATTTTTCTAAAATGGACCGTAATGGAAAAGTGCTAAATTTAAATTTTTTTGTATTTTCGTTTTCAATGAATATCTATAGAAAAATGTTTCGAGGTAGGTGTATGTGGACAATGTATATATTTAGTTTATCCTCTAAACATTTATAGAGATGCTGCAATAGGTTGTACAAAATAACCGGAAAATGCCTATAATAACTAGATAGGAAAGTCATGTGTTGGACACATCAGATTTTTACTATAATCATAGTAGGCAGTTTTTTTTACGTTTCTATGACATAATGACAACCTGTAAAAATGAATCACAACATTAAGTAAAGAAATAAATCTTGAAATTATCAAAAATTAAATGATTCATTTTGTTAATAGTTCTTATTATTCATGGATAGATATTTTTTATGCGATGTTAAAGGAAAAAAGTATTTCCCTTTAACGATGTAGGTACTCAAATTTTTTTTAAATGTTACATTTTCGTCAAATAAAAAAATTGCTACAGTTTGTATCATACTAAATTTATCAGAAAATTACCTGAGAAGCGTGATTCCAATGGTGCTTGACAAAATTTAAGAAATGTTCACAAAGCTGCATTCAAAGTACTTTCTGCTTTCATACATATGGAAATAATTAAGAACGAGAGATTTTTTTAAATGATTTGTTTTCGAGATATCTTATTTTGTGATTAGAAATGTCGAAGGAGACACTATGTAAAAATTACTTCGAAAACTATAGAACAGAACATTTGCAAGACAAATTAGTATACGCGAGTTTGGTGACGTTCTTACGGTAACATTGTCCCCTATATGTGCAAGAAAAACAAATTGTTTTATAAGCATGACATCAAGGTTTCTAAGTTAGTACATTCAACAGTGATTAGAGAGCAAGTGCTTCGTTAGAAACTCTGTAAAAGTAATAAACAATAGAAAACTCCCTGAAAAGTTACGCGTTTCTGATATTACTGATGAGGAGTGCGATATTCCTGTTGATCGTTTTAATCTCATTTCCAATTTGATTCACGACCCTGACTTGCGTAGGCAACAATCTGATAATGATCATTTACGATATAACAAAGGAAAGAATAAAAACTTCGAAACGCCCCAGTCTTGGATTAGCAATAAAATCTTTGACTAGTGTTGACAATTCTAAATGAGTACGGGCATACTGTGGGGTATTCTTTGGCTGAAAGCTTGATACTGCGCTAGCTTTTACGACCCAAGAAGAACATCAATTAACACCCCCTGGTATTCAAGTCACTGATGGACTCTCAACTTTGGAATTTGATAACTGACCGATTTTTCGACACTGTTATGGGTAAAGGTACTCTCCATGATGATACTATGCCACTTGCTGCAACATCTTATAGTATAATCGTAAAAGATGCAAATTTGAAGAAACTCCGTGTGTTATAAAACCTTATTTCAAGCGTAAGGCGACGTTGTCATTGTTATCATTTGAAGTTGCACTGGAGGCTGTAGGAAACTGCAAAAGTTATGCTATGGGTTTTTTCTCTTTCGCACCTCGACAGGGTACCAATGTAGATAGGATACAATTTGTCAGTAATTGTTGATTCCAGTGAAGTGCAGAACATTGATTACATGTCTTCATCCTATAATGTCGTTTATGAAACTTTGGCCATGTCCAAATAATTCGCCGACCAATGCCATCAAGAACAGATCATCGTAACTTTATGATTTAGCAATCGCGAAAATGGCAATGCATATTCCAAGTCTGGAAAGTCGAAAACTTGATGGTTTATTTATCAATTTAGGAGGCTTCCATATAAAATAGCGTTTTCTGAGCTGTTGGTAAATTTATTGACGGTTGCGGAGTTGTAGATATTTTAACAGAATCCGAGGTTTTTGCAGCATGTTCTGTAAACGGATTTATCGAGTCCAAACAGTTGAATAGGTGCAAAAGGATTCACCTTATTCTTGGTGAAAGTGCTTTTTCTCAGGATAGTTTCGTTTCTGATTTAAAGGTTGTTTTTGATCTTCCTGTTCCATCTCATGAATCGTTGATATTGTCTCCTGTTTTAGAAGATGCGATTGGGAAATACAAACATTTCTGTTCACTAATTCTAACAGGATATCAGGGAAAAACAGTGCAATTCTATTTACAGTACGTCGAATTGATAAATATTTTCTTTCTATTTTCGAGGAGTACAGGAACCAGTGACTTTGATCTTTACATCGACTAACATGTTCTTTGTATTTAACCAATCCAACTATGCTCGTTGGTCTTTACAAGTACTTAAGTAATCTGGTTTCTTTGAAAGTGGACAATTCCCTCTGTTGGATGAATTTAAACATGGTGCTTTCAGGGTTAAACGAACAGGAAAATCGTTAGCTAGATCTCAGGTGGATCTTACTTTAGAACAAACAGTGAATGATAAAGCGGCCAATTCTTTGACTGGGATAACTCATTTCACGATGGGCATTTAGTCATACTTTAAGAACAAAGATAATTTCTCATCTGCTTGAAAAGATGAGAATGTCTAAGAAATATAACGTTTCCCACCATTTGAAAAAAAAAACCGGATTGAATAGACACGAAAGCGCTGAATGCAATTCGAACAATGTTAGAACAAAATATGAATTTATTTGATCAACTTGTTAACAAAGATTGTTTCATATTGTAACAGGAAAAGCAGTTTAAAGTTTTCGATTTTTTGACCAATGCAATCATGATGGATCACCAACAGAAGTTGCAATTTCTAGAAGAATGTGCAATTTCGCCTAGTCGTTTTGAAAAACCAATTAAAAGAAACATTATTTTTAATTTTGCTTCAGATTGCATTAAACAAGTTTAGAAAAGTTCGGATGTCAAGCAAGTATTAATTAAAATGGAAAGAAACGTCTTTGGCCGTCTTCTACCCATTGCACTGGATAA